AGGTTAAAAGGAGATTTAATTGAGTGCTTCAAAATTGTCCATGGTTTAATACAAGTTAAATGATGTACATCTACTCCAAAAAATAGAAATAAAATTGGAACAATCTGCATACAGAAGAAATCCAATTCGATTCAAAAAGGAATGAATAAAAGAATGTTGTCCATTAGAAGATAAATTTTTTCTTAATAGAATAGCCATTGTATAGAATCTTCTTTCTCCATCTATCAAAAAATAAAGAAAAATCAAAACTCCTAATATATTTGGAAAAAGATAATTCATGATTTTTTTTATTTGTCAATATTTTAGCAGGCTCGTGTCACTGCATGTTTTAGATTTTGCTAATTTTTTTATATGTTATAGGGTTTATAAAAATTAGGAAAATCTGAAATTTGGAACCTCCAACTCCTTACGGTTCTTGAGATATTCAGGATTTAATTTTTTTATTTATACTGACTCAGCATTTTTTACAAAAAACTTTTTTGTTGTTAAATAGCAATAGTTTATGAACTAAATGAGGTGTCATTCTGAAATGAGGTATCATTCTGAAATTTTGTACAAACTTCCACATGGCAGATTTAACTACATGTAAATTAGATAATAAAGTCATATGTTTTGGGGTATTTCGACAGTCAAAATGGTGATGTCACCTTGATAATTTTTTTTGAGGCATTGTTATAACTTACAATTAGGTATCAAACATCACTATTAATAAAAATATATTACTGCATTTTTCAACTTTTCTAAACGCAGCCTTTTAAGTAAAGATTATATATATGCTGAGTCAGCATTTTATATTGCTAACTTATTTATGTCAAAATTAGCTATATCTTAATTTTATGTTGTAAAAAATTATTGTTAAAGTTTTTTTGAGGGCAATTATATATTTATAATTTATTTATACTTTTTTGTGCCTAAGGTAGGCTCAAAGTATGGGAAGGCATAAGGAGGCAATCAAGCTTCTTCCCTCCTCCCCCTCCCTAAAAAAAAATTACATTTTCCAAATTAAATATTTTTCCAAAATTGAAAATTTTGTTTTGTTAAAAATATTTCTTTTAAGCTGGAGCAATAATTAGAAATAATATTTTTATTTTTGAAGTTTTTTTGTAAAAGATCAACATCTTTTTAAATATAGAAATTTTACTAGGCTTAATCCAAATGGATTTATAAAAGATATTCTTTGTAAAAGGCTATATTTATAAAAGTCATTTTTTTTCTTTTATAAATAAAACATTTTATTTTCTCCTTATTATATTATTGCTTCTGATTTCATGTTGTAAATATTTGCAGAACTTTTATATTTACTTAACTAATTAGTAAATGTTAAATGATTACTATATGATCTGTAAATAAAATAAAAATTAATAAAAATTACCCTTTAATCATGTATAAGAGAGTCATATAATATGGCAAATCCAGTTATATGGATATTAACAAAAAATGTATAAATAATTTAGTATAAACTAAATAATCTTAATAGTATTTCTAAAAAATATTTATTTTAAAATAAAATATTTCAAAACTAGATTTTTTGAATAAAATTAAAAGTTGGAAAATATAGATAAGTGTTCTATTGAATGTGTTATTAATCTATTAGAATGTAATGTTTAATAGAATTGTCACTGCCACAAGCAAGATTTAACAAGAAGATAATGTCTTTTAGACCTATCAACATTTTTAAGTGATAAAAAACACAATTTATTATGGAGAGACGATTTATTTCATTGTGGAAAATTGTTTACAATAGTTTGCTATTATCATAGAAAAAACTTTGGAGTTGCATTTGAAACAAAATTTCAGAAATGCTGTAATCTATTTAAAAAATATGGAAACCGAAAGAAAAATGTAAAAATTTTGATATTATTTTGATGAATAGAATGATTTAAATAGTAATTAAAAAAACTAAAGAAATAACTTGACAACTAAATGCATTTTTGAGAAGAAAATTCAAATATTTGTATAAATTTAAAATTTTGATGGTTTTATAAATTAAAAATATACTAATATGTTCTTTACAATGATGCTTAGTTTTTAGAAGTAATTGTTTCTTTTTTTTTATAGTAAATGTGAAGATATCGCTATCAATAGCAATGACTCTTAAAACACAAGATATTTATGTTGTACCTAGGGAAAAAATTATGCAGTAGTTGTTACAAAAATGTACAGAATTTAAATAAAAAAATTAGAATCAAATGATCAGTGCTATAGCAGGGTTGAGTCTGAACATGAACAACGTTCAGCTTTAGATGTGAAAGTCTAGGTGTGTCACTTATTAAGCTTTAACTAGAGCCTAAACACCAATGGTTACTAGCTGCCAAAAGAAAATTTAATCAAATAACTGAAGCAACAACAAACAAAATATAAAATAATATTGATCCTATGATTAGATTGAACCATCTTGTACACCACTAGCTTCTTCAGTTTATAACTATAAAATTGACAATCTAAATTCACTTTTAAATGAATTAAAAGATAAACTAAAAAATGTGACATCATACTCCACAAAAATACAGGTATTAACATTAACTTCAGAAGCTTGGTCACTCCCAAAATCTGCAGAATTTTTAAACGTATATATATTTTTTTTAATTTTATTTTAATTCACCTCCTCAAGGCCGAGAAGGCCACTACAGACGAGGACGCTACTTATTTGCGGCTATAACCCTCTCTCAACTCTATAACTCTGAAACACGAACCTTGACAAACAAGGCTGCTGCGCGGAGAAACAAGTTGAGCGCGGTACTACCAGGGACGTGGTGGGGATCGAACTCGGCACCACTCGTTTATGAAGCGAGCGCTCTACCACTACACCACTACCACATATATTTACCTTATAAGAGAGGCTAGAAAAACTGAAAAAAAAAAATTGGAATTTTGTATAAACCATCGTCAAAAAAAAGAAAGTCGCTTTCTTATGAAACCATTGATCTAGTTCATAGCTTTTATCAAAGAGACAAGTATACACTAATGATGCCTGAAAGAGATTTTGTCAGTATAGGGTACAGGCAACACATGCAAAAAAGATTAATATTGATTAATTTAAAAATACTTTGTGTAGCATTTAAATCTAAACACACTCTAATTTAAATGTTGGATTTTCAAAGTTTTGCAGCCCAAGATAATGTGTAACTAAAAACTTGTCTGGCACTCAGTATTTGTGTCTGTATATATCATCAGAATGTCAAGTTGTTAACTGATGCTCTTAAAATTGACAAAGACTATAAAGATTTAATGGTAATGATTGTTTGCAATCAAGATAATGCAGAGTGCATGTTACATTGATACCTACTATGCACTGTTTTTGCTGCTTTAAAAGAATTCTTAACAGTAAAATTTGACAAAAGTAATAAAGAAATAACAATTAACCAATGGCAAGATACTGATAGAAATACACTGATCAATCAAAAAATCAATATTGAAGATGTTATTGATCTTATATGCAATAAAATAGATAAACTTACATCTCATTCATTTATAGCTAAAAACAAGGCCAAGTACCTTAAAGACTGTAAAGAGTTTTTAAATCACAATGAATGTATAATATTGGTTGATTTTGCAGAGAACTTTCAATTTATTGTTCAGGATGAGTTGCAAAGTTACTACTGGAATAACCAAAATGTGCACTTCATCCTATTACTATATACTATAAATCAAATGGTATCCAAGATATTTTGCTTTCCAAGATATTTTCCTGATATCCAAGTCATTTTGCTTTCTTACTGATGACATTGAGCATAATGTATACTTTGTATACATATATATATATATATATATATATATATATATATATATATATATATATATATATATATATATATATATATATATATATATATATATATATTCATTACATTAAAGCAAACATTCTACAAATTAGAAATATTAAATACTTCACTGATGGATGTGCAGTACAATATAAAAACTTTAAGAATTTTATTAATCTTTGTCATCACAAAAAAGACTTTGATATTGATGCTGAATGTTTTTTTTTTTTTTTTTTTTTTTTGCCACAAGCCATGGTTAATCAGCTTGTGATGGTATTGGGGGCACAGTAACAAGACTAACTGCCAGTTTAAAAGAATAACGACTGGACAGATTTTAGATGTAGATAAGATGTTTGAATTTTGTGTAACTAATATGAAAAACATTCAATTCATTTTGGTTTATAAAACAGAAATAAATGAAGTTCGATCATCATTACAACCAAGGTTTATTATGGGAAGAACCTTGCCAGGAACAAGATGCTTCCACCATTTTATACCATTTAATTAATGTACAATTTCTTTTAAAAGGAGTCAACAAACTGATGTTCAGACATTTAACCTTGTGTAGATACTGGTTGTGCAGCAGGTTATTTATAATCATATGGATTATGTAGCATCCAAGTATGACACTTTTTAGTGGATTGGAATTATAACCAAAAAAGATAAAAGGGAAGGAGATTGTAAAATTCAATTTATGCATTCACATGGTCTCAGCCCATGTTTTTTTGACCCGCACAAGAAGATATGTGTTGGGTCCTATCAAATCATGTTTTATGTACCATTGATACCATTGATCCACCATCTACAATAAATGGTCACATGTAAAATTTCAAAATGAGTAAGAAAAAATTATTGAACAAAATAATAAAGATTTATAGAAAAAATTTCTAATGCACTATTATTTTTATATCTGTATGTTGTTTTTTCAAACTTAGTTAAGATATAACTTTATGTGAATATGTGTAACAGTATGTGTAATTGGCACGATTTGGCTACAAAAATCTCCTAGTTACTTGTCTTAATGTTTTTAACAAAAAAAAAAAAAAAAGGAAGAGGGTTGGTAAAATGTTTAATTTCACAAAAATAAAACAACAAATATAAAAACAAATTTTGTAAAGATACTTAAAAAAAAAAAAGTGGCTTTCTTAGGTCTAGTGGCTATATATTAAAATAACAAAAAAAAATTTATTTGTTATAAAATAAATTTATAATTTAATTGTTTTTCTGATCAAAACTTACCATTCATTTGGCTGAAGCTTTAAAGGCTGGTCAACAACACGAAATGGTACAGTGGCACTCTGCATTTGTCCACCAATCATAATATCTTTTTTTCTCTGAATTAAAACTTCATTTTCTTTAATTGTGCCCAATCTTTTTTTTTGATCAGCAGTAATATACCTACATAAATAAAATTTTTGTTTTCAATGGAAGTTTTTTTAAGCCCATTATGTTTGAAGTTAAGTTTAATCTTAAAATAAAAAATATAGAATTTAATTTATTATTGTGTTTTAAAAACAATTACTTTTTTTAATCAAAAAAATAATAATTTTTCTAAAAAAATTTAAATTTCAAATTTTTGAAAATTAAAAGCCATTAAAGTATAATATATGAATGAGTTCATGAAGTTACTTTATTTAAATCAGCTCTGGAAATAAGGGATCAACAACCAATAATCTTTAAGGGCTGATCAACTACCAATAACTTTTGGTTTACATTAACACTGTAAACTTTTGTTTACCAATAATCTTTAGTTTACATAATAATCTTTAGTTTACAGTATAAAAATGAGAAAAAATATTAATGAATAAGCAAAAATACAGAATGACAATAAATACTGAATATTCTTGATTAGCAGAATAATTGTAGTTTGGGATCATTTTTTTTTTCTGACTTAAAATTTAGAAGAAAAAAAATTAAATTAATAAAGCAATTAAAAGAATTTAAGCAAAAAAACTTTAGCTTAAATTGTTAATCTTAAAGTTAACAATGTTAAATAATATCAAAGTTAACATTGTTAAATAATATCAAAGTTAACATTGTTAAACAATATCAAAGTTAACAATGTTAAATAATATCAAAGTTAACATTGTTAAATAATATCAAAGTTAACATTGTTAAATAATATCAAAGTTAACATTGTTAAATAATATCAAAGTTAAATAATAAACTATTAAAATTGATTAATTAGAAAGTAAAATAATAAAATAAAGTTATGAAACTATATTAATAAAATAAAGACTGGCCAAATACAATAGACAAATATTTTATTTATAAGAAATTAGTATCTGAATCACCCACAAAAAAAAAAAAAATTTCTTAAAACTTTTAAAGAAAGATTATTATCTTTTAATATTATTTCAAACCCCTCAAATTATAATTTTTTTTTTAAATTTTTTAATTTATTAGCTCATTTTAAATGTTTTCAATTTTTTATTTCATAAAGAAAAGATCAGCAAGGAAAAAAGTAAAGTTTTTAATAAGTAATCCACTTTTTCAGGACTTAAAACAAAGAGTTTTAGTTAAAAGTAAAGATTTAATTATTTCTATGAAAAAGTAAAACTTTAATTTTCTATTAGGTTTGTTTTTTTTTTTTGTTTTTTTTTTTTATGCTGTTTATATAACATGAAAATAAAATTAATTACAAGGAAACCTTTACATTACAAACTTTTAAAAAACAAACAAAGAGTCAAAGAAGGTACGAATGACTGATGTAACCACTATCTTTTCATAGATAGCTAAAAAAATATTACTTGTTTTGAATCAAAATAATATGCTAAAACGGTTGTATGGAGAAGTGTAAAATGGTTGCATGGAGAAGTCTAAAATGGTTCTATAGAGAAGTGTAAAACTGTTGTAGGGAGAAGTGTAAAATGGTTGCATGGAGAAGTCTAAAATGGTTCTATAGAGAAGTGTAAAACTGTTGTAGGGAGAAGTGTAAAATGGTTGCATGGAGAAGTCTAAAATGGTTCTATAGAGAAGTGTAAAACTGTTGTAGGGAGAAGTGTAAAATGGTTGCATGGAGAAGTCTAAAATGGTTCTATAGAGAAGTGTAAAACTGTTGTAGGGAGAAGTGTAAAATGGTTGCATGGAGAAGTCTAAAATGGTTCTATAGAGAAGTGTAAAACTGTTGTAGGGAGAAGTGTAAAATGGTTGCATGGAGAAGTCTAAAATGGTTCTATAGAGAAGTGTAAAACTGTTGTAGGGAGAAGTGTAAAACGGTTGTATGTAGAAGTGTAAAACGGTTGTATGGAGAAGTGTAAAATGGTTGCATGCAGAAGTGTAAAATGGACAATATTGAAATTTGCCTACAAAAAATCCACAAAAAAAGCTAAATTCAATATTTTTTATTTTAACTGATTAATGTTGATTGGCAACCTTCAATTAATTATTTCCAGTACTGTTAACTTTATCCTTTCATCCTGAGCAAAATTTATCATTTATGATTTTTTTAAAAAATTAACAAATCAAAATTTATTTGATATAATATTAATCAGATAAATTGTTCAAAATTTAACAAAAGTATTAAATTTTAGGCCAAAAAGTTAGAATTTCCATGTAAATCTAAGAAGAAGAAATAGAAGTTATACTCTGTATAATATAGTGTAAGCCAACTGAGACACTTAAACTTCAGGATCTTATCACTAAGCACCCTCTTAAAATGATCTTTATTTGTCTTTATTTTTATTTGTTACATTTTCCTAATCAAATTGTTAAATATATAACTGTTAAACTTCCATGTTTAAACCTGTATAATCTAATTATTATAATAATAGTGTAAATATATGGCCTGTTATAATTCTATTTGTTCATACAATTTATAAATAGTTGATTGTTTTGTTCAATATTATTTTTATTTATTTTTTTATGATTATTATTATTAAAGAACATTCAAAAAAAGTGAAACTTAACAAATTATCTTAACAAATAATTATAGAAATCTAAATTGTTAAATTAAACGTTGTGTCTAGCACAACGGTACCATTGCTTTAATTTTTATCTTAAAGTCACGGCAGTAAAGTTTGATTGGTTTATTTTAAGTCACGGCTGTGTATATGATTAGTTGATTTTGAAAGTTTTATTTGTACAAATTTTAAAAAAAATTGCAACTATAAATTGTGTGTTTAGCATTGTAGTGTCTCAATTGTTTATTACTCATGGAGTTCTGGACTCGAGTCCTACATCCAGAAAAATATTTTTTAAATGTTTTTTAACAATTTTTTATTGAAAGTAATTATTGTTGTATATTGAAAGTTACACTGATGTTTATTATTTACAAACATCGATTGGTATAGGGCTAAGCACAGTGAGTGTACATACATCCACTGATTTAGGGATAAGCGCAGTGAGTGTATATACATCCACTGGTTTAGGGATAGGCTCAGTTAGTGTACATACATCCACTGATTTAGGGATAGGCGCAGTGAGTGTACATACACCCACTGATTTAGGGATAGGCATAATAAGTGTGCATATATCCACTGATTTAGGGACAGGCACAGTGAGTGTACATACATCAATTAAGGGTTTTAGTTTAGGCATGCATTCTTAAAATAAATAAAAAAAATCAACCAAACAGAAATCACTACCGCGACTTTAAGAAAAAAAGTTAAAGCGACGGTACCATTGCACGAGCAACAGCGTAAATTAAAATCTAACAAGGTTTTTAAATTTTTAACTCTTTTATTCAGATACCTTTTGATCAGATATCTTCATATTCTATGTTATTTTCATATTCTATGTTATTTTCATATTCTATGTTATCTTCTAAATATTTAAAATTGTTACTTTTGCTAGACCTATGTTTGATTTTTAATTTTAAATTTCCTTTTATTAAATTTTTTTTGGTTTTGTGTATGTTTCATTATTTTCTGTTTTTAAAAAATCTGAAAATAAACAAAACAGAGACAAAAAAATTGTAAAAAATTTTCAAAAGATCTTTTGTTTATATTAACATGAGTTTGCTTTTGTGCAAACTGAAATAATAACAACAAAAAAACAAAAAAAAACAATCTTGTTTGTACCATTTTTGCCCACCATTGTGAGGAGGCAGTGTAAAATAAAAGTTCACCAAAAAAATTTAAAAATTTAAAAATTAAACAAAAAATGTTAATGAGCATAAAAATGTAGACAAAAACAATTATAAATGATTACAAAATAAAATCAAAAATTATTATAAATGATTACAAAATAAAATCAAAAACTATTATAAATATTACAAGAATAACCTATAAATTTTGCTTTTTCTTAATTAGTTTTTGATGCAGTTATCAATAATTCAAACAATGTGTGACACTTTTCCAACAATTCTTAAATATCTAGTTGCATATATTTTATTGATTACACCCTCACATACACATCACATATTAAAAAGGTTCTTTGTGTATGGTTTTTAGAAGGAATATAATATTTTCAAGGGGGCTTTTTTAAATACTATTACCATGCTATATATAAATGATGTGATGACTGTTTAAAAGAGGAATAGTAAAAACATTATTTTAGTTAGAATAAAAACTATAATTTAGAAAAATCATATTTGAATAGTCAATTTTATTAGTTATACAGCTTTTTTAATTTAGCTTAAATTTCATCTTTGACCCTGATAACATGTTCTTGCAATCTTGTTGAAATATCTGATTTAACCCAACAAAAAATATTTTTTTAACTTCCGCATTGATTATGTGTTTGCAATATGGTTGAAATACCTAAGATTAACCCAACAAAAACTCTTTATAACTTTGTTCATGACCATGTGTTGTTGCAAACAAAAACATGTGTTCTTGTAATCATAAATAAATTATCATGAAATATCAAAAACAACAACTGTTTAGAGATTGAACAAAAACTTGAACTTAGTAGCCATTATCTAACTATCTTGTTCAATCAATGTTTGCATTTCTTGTTTTATTATCTTTTTTTTTTTTAATGCTATATACCTCCCTATATAGAGGGCAACTTCAGTCAAGGAGACTACTTATTTTCTTTTTAATAGTGATTACAATCCTTTCTTGACTCTCTTTTGAATTGGAAAAATAAACAACTAGTTTTCTACTGCGTAGGTCGGTAACAACTAGTTTAAAATTGTGAAAATAAAATTTGAGCATTTAGTTCTGTCTTACCCATGGTCACTTTTGCCAAGGAGCCACAACACTGTAGGGGTGCCAAATCAAACAAAAAATTGTATAATCTATTATTAATAATGCACACTTATGTTCATTATTAGAAATTTTACTCTCATATAGATTTTATTAAGTGTATATTTAAAAAACAGGCCTACTGCAAGCAATGAATTTATTTTTAAAAAAATCAGGAATGGAGGAGCCAATGACGCTTTGTAGTCCAGGAGCCATGAGGAACTAAAGACATCTATGTGTAAATTGTACAGCCATGAGATTATTACC